GATGGCTGGACTGAGCCTAGCTCCAGGATTCAAACATATACATGAAACAGCTGACTTTATCTTGCTAATGATACCTGTTTAATTGAAACATACCATATTTTTCAGAGTATAAGAAGCACCCTTTTCCCTTAAAAAAAAGAGGGTAAAAATCTGGGTGTGTCTTATACACTGAATACAGCATTTTTGCCTCCTGAAACCCTGCCCCTTCACCAAAATGGCCGTGCGTAGCCTTTAGGAGGCTTTCAGAGTGCTCCTGGGGGCTGGGGAAGGCAGAAATGAGTGAAAAACAGGCCGATTTTTGCTCAATTTTGCCCCCTCCCCCAGCACCATACTACAAGCCTCCTAAAGACTATGCATGCCCTTTTTTTGACAAAAAACAGGTCAATTTTTGTGAAAAATGGGCCATTTTTTGCTCGTTTTTGACCCCCCCCCAGCCTCCCAGGAGAACTCTATAAGCTTCCTAAAGGCTATTCATGCCTTTTTGAAAAAAAAATGGGCCTGTTTTCGTGAAAAATGGGCCGTCTTTGGGAGGTCTGCAGAGTGCAAAAACTTTTTTTTAATTTGCCACTTCAAAATCTTGGTGCGCCTTATGCTCCAGTGCATCTTCTACTCCAAAAAATATAGTATCTAGGCTGTGGGAAAAGGCCTGGATCCCCAATGAGGTGATTTATAAATTTTATATCCCTTTCTTCTAAATGAAACTGGTGGGTCATTACAATAAATGGGTAGCTTTTTTTAAATTTAGCAGTGGGTTTTTTAATGAAACTCTGGCTTCAACACTGGGCAGTATATTACTTACACAGGTTAGACAACTGTACCTATTTTCATCTAATCACACTAAGCCGAATTGGGGTTGAAAGATATATTGTACCCAAGCCTCTCATAAACTCTGACATTGTTTTCTGCACTCTTTCCAATTCCTGAATTTCTTTGTGATTGTAATGACCAGAACTACTGGTAAATAACACTATTCCAGTCTAACCAGTGTAGCATAGAGCAGAGCAAATATTTCCCTTGATTTCAACACTGTATCTCGGTTGCTGCAATATAAGACTGCATCAGCTCTTTTGGCAGCTGTATCACCCTGCTGGCTACGTTTAATCTGTGGTCAATGCCCAATCCTTCTCTTAAGTACTACTGCCAAGGAAGGGACCACTTGTCTTGCAGTTTTACCTAGCTGCAAAACTCTACATTTCTTCCCACTTAAACTGTTCGTGTTTCTCAGATGCTACTGAACTCCCAGCCTGTGTTTTGCAGTATTAACCATCTTTTTACAGCTTGTGTCATCTGCAAATGGGACAAGCATCCCCTATATCTTCTCCTTGTCTAAATTTATGGTTTATTGATTATTAAAGGGGATTTATGATTTATTGATTTATGAAAGGTGGATGAGCTCCAGGCGCGAAGCCTGAGGTATTCTACCATTTGCTTCTTTGTGGCACGGTGGCAATCCAACCACTGCACTTTTTAAAATCATGATTTTTCCCCACAGCAACAAATCCCGTGAGGTGAGATGGGCCGAAAGAGTGTGACTGATCCAAGGTCAGCCTGCTTTCATGCCTAAAAAGACTAGAATTCAGGCTCCCAATTTCTAGCCTGATGCCTTAACCACTAAACCAAGCTGGTTTTGGTCGCAAAGTCAAACATTGTCCAACAAATCCTGACTTGGGTGGGGAGATCAACTCCTGTCAAACAAGACTTAAGAGTGGGGTGTAAATCACTATGAAGCGGTATGTAAATCTAAATGCTATTATTGCTATCTGCAAAAACCCTCCCAATCTTTACATTCGGTGATTCTCGGAGAAGTGCAACCCCAGAATGTCGATCGCCTCTCTGCATCCAGCCCAGATCAGATTGGGAAAGCGGAATATGTTTATTTATAAATCCTCCACCGTCTCTATCTCCATTTCCCGATCAAACCCCGTTTCCTGCCCAGTTGATTCCTTACCTCTCTCGTTCGCCTTGGGTGTTGGACAGCCGCAGTCCCGTCTCTACACACAACAACGCAGGAAGAATTTAATGGCTGCCGCGGCCCTTGGCCAGTTTCTCACTCCGGTCGGGGGAGGCGACGCCGCGGGACTCTGAGCCGACTCTGCTCGGCTGGTTACGTGGGGCTGCAGGAGTTGCCGCGTGCCTCCCTCCGAGGTTTCCTTGCAGCGTTCCCAAATTCCTGCCTGAAAAGCTCAGGTCAGCCGCTGACCCGCACTGGGAACACAGCGAAGGAAGGGCCGCCTGGACTCCCTTCGGCTCCTTCGCGATATTATAACCCGAGCCCTCTGCTGGCTGCTGCCTTGTCTGCACAATTATCCTGAGCTTCTACATCCAGGGGGCGAGTCCGTTTCGCTAATGGGAAAACAAGGCCGGATTTAGCGTCGGACGGATTGCAGAAAGACGCCTGCCTTAATGCGGCACGGAGCCTTCTGTGGTCTGGAGCGACAAAAAGTCCAAACCCATTTCCTCCATCTAAAATTGCATGATATTTGGATGCCCGAAGTTTGATTTGGTTTTTTCTTTAAAAAAAATATTTTGGGGAGAGTTGTTTTAGACTTTTCAATGGTATCTACAGACTTGTGATCATCCAAGTACGGATAGAATAGAATTCTTCATTGGCCAAGTGTGATTGGACACACAAGGAATTTCTCTTGGGTACTTGAGAGACCGCCTGCTGCCAATCACCTCCAATAGACCGATCAGATCCCACAGATTAGGCCTCCTCCGAATTCCAACTACCCGGAGGAGAGCCTTCTCTGTGGCTGCTCCGACCCTCTGGAACGAACTCCCCGTGGAGATTCGAACCCTCACCACCCTCCAGGCCTTCC